GAGAGAGAGAGAATTTTAATATTTATTTTTTAGTTTTCGGCGGACACAACATCTTTGTTTGTACGTGGTGCTGAGGATCGAACCCGGGCCGCACGCATGCCAGGCGAGCGCGCTACCGCTTGAGCCACATCCCCAGCCCCTGCTTCTTTGATTCTTGAAGTTCTACTTTCTCTTCAGGGTTACTTCAGACACCCTCTCTCCCCTTCTGTAAACCAAGGTGCTTTTTGACCCTGTCCTTCTCTCTCTTCAAGAAGGAATTGGGAACCCCTCTTCTGCAGAGCTGTTCTTATACACAGTTGTCCTGTTGAATAGCCTGTCCCCACTATATCAAAGGAGTTTAACTTCAGTTTGCCTAAACAAGGACCTAAAGAACCTATTAAGATACAGATGCCTCCATCTCACTAAAAATTCCAATTCAGTAACTCTTGATGTACATTTAGTAGCTCTAGAATGTGCATTGTTAACAAGCCCAAGGCAAAATTCTCAGGCACATGATTCTCAGAATCCCCTTTAGCTATGTGAAGATGAGCCACCTCTGCTTTTGTTTATTTTTCATATAGTAGGCATAAAATAAATGTTGAATGAGTAAATGAATGAAAAAAAAATGAATGAAAAAAACCCCAGTTTCCTCCTCTGTAAAATGATGGACTCACTCAGTTTTCTCCTAATTCAACTTCTCTTTAAAATTTTTGAGTTATTTTACTCCAAATACCTGTACCCTCTGTAGTCTAAGTAGCATACATACAAAATACAAAGCATGTGAAGCCATCAGGGAAACCTGCTGAAGAGGATTTAGTCCCAGCTAATATTTAGCAGATGACTTAGAACTCACGAAGAACCATATTTTGGGAACAACCAATTTTATCACAGGCTAGAGACACAAAGAGAGGCATACACTTGCACCCATGTGAATTCAGCCTCATTCTCTCCTGTAAGTATGAGAACCCAGCAGGCAGCACTGTCAGGCTTGACAAGCTCCCAAGTTAGGCAGTTAGGGAGCTGGGTATTATGGGAAATCAGGGTCAAGGAGGAGGGCTTGGGATGGTCAGCTGCCATCTTGCCAGGCAGAGGGCACAGACCGTCAGAGCTGTCAGTGACCCTGACTCTGCTACAACCACTTCTCAATGGATAGAACCCAGGGCCTTGCTCACGCTGAGCACGGGCTCTACCACTGATACCCCCCAGCCCTCTGTGGCGTCTTTGACTTTCCTTTCCCTGTAGGTTTCAAGAGGCAATTCCAGCTTCTTATAAGAGCTGTGGCCTGAGAAAAATGAAGTCTCCCATTACTTATAACCTCTCAGCATTTCAGAGGAAAAAGGTTAGCTATGGCTGCCAAGATCCAGCAAATATTTGGTTAGCTTGGAAAGAATGGGTGCTCATTTTCCAATTCTCACAGATTTCTCGATGCCCAGTTCCTTTTATTAAAAACGTTAAATCCAGAGATAAAGTCGAATGGCACTCCAGGCTCTAAGCATTCATCTGTATCCCGGGGAGCAGAACCCAGGATCTAAACAAAGAAAAGCTAAATCAATAGAACTCATGAATTTCCTCTAGGAACAGGACCCAATGTAGCAGAAGAATAAGCAGAGAGGCTCCTCTCTGCCATTTTCTTTGAGTGGGTATTTATGGGAAAGGCTAGGGAATGTTCTTTCGATTGATGAGGGACAGCAACCATGCCTACTGCCTACTTACTGCCTTTTTATTTTGTACAACCTGTGAATTAAGAATCTTTTTTTTTTAACCATTTTAAATAGTTGGTAAAAAAAAATTAGAAAGAGAATATTTTATGACATCTGAAGATGAGATGAAATTCGGATTTGCATTCCATAAATAAAGTTTTATTGGAACCCAGCCACACCCGTTTGTTTGCATATTGTCTATGACTGCTTTTGAGCTACACTGGCAGAGTAGTTCAGACARAGACCAGATAGCCCTCAAAGCCTAAAATATGTACCATCTGCCTCTTCACAGAAGTTTGCATACCTCGGGAGAAGGGGATGAAAGACTTGGTGCTCACTGTTATTTGAATGGAATACTACAAAACATATATGTACAGTTAAATAATTGTAAAGAACATCTAAATAAGCTAACATGTGGATCAAGAAATAAAACCTTGTTGGTCAGCAGCCCAGGAGTCCCCTATGTGCCCTTGCTCCTCAACTGGAGTCGGTAAGTATCTGGGTAATATTTTCCCTCTGTTCTGTATACCACCAAAACTCTGTAATTGAATTTTGCTTGTTTTGAAGTTATGTGCTAATAGAATAATATTGTGTATTTGCCTCTGTCTGCCTCTCTCTGTTTTAGTCAGCTTTTTTTTTTTTTTGCTTCTGTGACTAAAAGACCTGACCAGCACAATTGTAGAGGAGGAAAAGTTTATTTAAGGGATCTGGTTTCAGAGGTCTCCATCCATAGATAGTGGACTCCATCCCTCAGGGCTCAAGATGAGGCTGAACATAATGGAGGAAGAGTGTGGCTAAGGGAAGCAGCTCACATGCCGATCATGCTTGCATGTCGATCATGCTTGCATGTCGATCATGCAGACAGCAGAGAGAGCAACTCCACTCACCAGATAAAAATATATACCCCATAGCCATGCCCCCAATGAACCACTTCATTCAGCCACACCCCACTTGCCTCCAGTCACCACTCAGTTAACCCCATCAGGGATTAATTCACTGATTAGGTTAAGGCTATAACCAAAACATTTCTCCTCCTCCTCTCTCACATTGTCTCACACATGAGCTTTTGGGAGACACCACATCTAAACCGTAACACTCTAGTTTGTGAGGCTAAGCTCTTGAGTTATTTTGTGTGGCTATAATTCTGTCATTTCTTTTGCTACACAGCTTTCACCGTGTCACTCAGRCAGGGTTCACTGATTCATTTTATTCTTGGTGGACAGATGGGTCATTTCCAGTTTAGGGCTGCTATGAGGCTATCACTATGAACATCTTGTATCTGAGCCATTTTGACTTTGCAGTTTCTCAAGATGAGTGGAATTGTTGGGTCATTGGATAGACATTTCTTCAACTCTCCTACTTAATGCTGAACTGTTCTCCAACAGGTTGGACCAAATCATTCCCACCAGCCAATGTAATTTTAAGAAGTATAGGAGCTCTTTGCATCGTCTCAGTCAGAGCCTTTTCCACCTGCAAATCCTGAACCACAAGGTGTCTGTTCACTCATCCCGAGGAGCCTGACAGGGTGGGTACATGAGACCCTTGTCTCTTATGTTTTTTCCTTTTCCTTAAAATTATTCTCAAGTCTTAAAAATGTATTGRGAAATTCAGCTAAGAATGCTCCAGATGGGCTTTGAGATTCCTGTGCTTGGCTAACAGGCCATCCAGGTGGGAGACTATCTTGACCCCTCCCATCCACTAAATGGATGGACCCAGAGGAAGGACAGGATGGGGACACCAGGAAAGGGGTCACTGTCCCTTTCTGATCTCCTGGGGAATCAGAGGGTTGAAAAGTCAGGGAATCATCTCCTGAGAAGCCCATGCTTGTGTCTTGCTGTGTAGGGTTTTAGGAAAATGGGGCTACAATTCCCCTCCTCCAGTATGCTGAAACCCGCACCCCGAGTACCAAGCACTAGAGGCATTTCTGAAGCATGATGTAGCGCTACATTGAAAAGGCACAAATAAACCCCAAACCCTAGCACACATTTATCCAGTTTGTGAAGCRGATTAATAGAATAACCAATAAAACATGTATAAAAGCTTTAATTAAATCTGATGAAATAAAACTTCATGTTTTATTTATGGACACTCCCAACATGTAAAGGATTCGGGGAGACATTCATTTTTACTGCCATTTCGTCCTCATATCTATAATTAAATCCAGGCTGCAGCTCTGGCCCAAAGCAATGCGGCATTTTAAAGCTGGCCTTGGACCCTTCCCCCTCCCATCTGCTTTTAATTATAATTACCATCCCAATACATAGGAGGCTGATGGCAAAACAAAACAAAATAATAAAATAAACAAACAAACAACAGTCTCACTGCCATTGTGTTTCAAAGCAACATGCCAAAGGAGATCTCAGGCARGAGGGCGTATTCTCTATTTCCAGTTTTATTCTGTACCAAGTGCACAATCCCTTCATTTCACTTTTGACATATAAAAAGGACTTCATGAAACAAGACAAAATAACTTATGATTATATGAAACATAACTGTGACAAATCACAAAACTATACATATTAATAGAAAAAAAGTGTACCTAATTCTTTAAAAGATTTATGACAATAAGCACCAGATGTGCCTCTAGAGTAAAATCGGCCCCATATCCAGTATGATATACGCAGTTCACTTCTCTACGTGAGTGTATATAACTATGTACAAGAGCTGTGTGATTTATGGAAAACAGATTTCCACTTTTTCCCCCCAAAGTGCTTTATGTCAGCAACATTACACAGGATGCTTTGCTGTCTATACAAAATAAATCTCTTCTTTTTTACACTCACCATTTCTCCAATGAGTTTGGTTTTTCTTTTTTGCTTTATCTATAGCAAAAAGAAGAAGAAGGAGAAGGAGAAGGAGAAGGAGAAGGAGAAGGAGAAGGAGAAGGAGAAGGAGAAGGAGAAGGAGAAGAAGGAGAAGAAGGAGAAGGAGGAAAAGGTAACTGCAGAAATTCCACACCACCAACAAAAAGTGCCAATAAGAAATGCTGCTATAAAATGATGTGGTCAATACAGTCAAATAAAATACCAAATAATTACACTGAACATTTATAGTCACTATTCCCAATACTTTGTGGCAAATGGAAAAGTCCAGGTTCTCTGAGGGGAGAGTTGAATAGTTATCCTTGTTCAGAACTGGTATCAGTGTACTCGTGTACTTGACAGCTGCTAATTCAAAAACAATGGAACAAAACCAACAYTTCACTATCAGTGGAACCTATGCTGTGACCTACTGAAGACTTCTCTTCCATGTTAAAATCACCTATGTAATTTGGGGAAGACATGGGCAAAGGGAGAGACCTGACAAGCCCATTAAATATTTAAATAATCTTTAAATGCTGATCAGAGACTAAATTACAAGCTACATTTTGATGCAGTCCCTTTAGGAAATCAAGATAATGCAGCAAATGAAATAGAGGTCTCTAAGTGTACTGATTTTTTATTTTTTATTTTTCAGTGTAATAGGATAATTGGCCAAAGGGGCTGTGTGTTTTCACAAGCACCACTTTTGTTGTTGTTTGTTTGTTAGTTTGTTCTTAAAGGGGAATGACAATCTCTGGATGCTTATGAAAATGGCTACATATGGAGACTTAAAAAGGCCAGGAAATGGAAGGAAATGATTTTCTGAAGTTCCACTTTCACTGATACAAAATACTGGTGAAAGTACACAAAAATCTTCTGCAGTGTGAAAGGAARCAAGGGACAAATTTTAAGTCAGAGAAATTCTGGAGTCTAAGGACAGCTTGTGTAGTCTGAAGGAAGCCGAATGTGTCATGTCCTAGGCCCTAATTGCCAACCTGCAGTCATCAAGAAACTCTGAGGAGCCATACTGGGCCCTGCTTCTTGCATGTTCTCTCTGACAGCACATCTCTCTCCTAGGGACCAGGTCTTGAAATCTTTCTGAGAAAGGAGGAGCTACAGGTGCTGCTGCCACCTGGCCATTCTTTGGATCCCCCCAAGCCCAGCTTAGACAAGGAAGAATCAGGGTCACTGTGATAGACCACCATGAGACCAGAGCCTGGTTCACAGCATCTCCTCTCAACCAAAGAGGTATATGACATCCCTGATCTCTGAGGTTTAGCATCATGCTTTGTCCTTTCCCCTTTCTACTTAAAATTAATTAAACCACAAAGCAGGGCTGACAGCATCAACTGCAATAACAACCATCCATGCCTTAACATCATTTTTCTCCTCATCACACAAATAAAATACATTTTGAATTACTTGTAAAAGCTTCAGTATTTAAGAACAAATAGATGGTCTCTCTAAAGATAGCAGAGCCTTCCCTTCTTTCCAGAGTGTGACAGAGGACAAATGAGGGATACTACTGACCGAGCCAATGTTAGCATGCATGTTTCCTTGCTTAGGCCAAGTAACACAACCCACCAAGTTTGCAGCAGGGTGGGATTTTACATGCAGCCTGAGAACTCGCTTATCAAGGAAGCTTGATGTGCATCCTTTTGGAAAGCACAGCAGATATTTTTATAAAGTGGATAATTTACATCTTTTGCAGACTTGGACACCTGCATGATAGCCCTCCTTAGAACACAGCTCACTAGCTGGAGAAACTAGATCAACCAACTGTGTTGAAAAATGTAATCCACACTTGGTTCTTTATTCCACCATGAATTGAAATGAATACTGGGATCAGGTAGAACATTTCTGATTTTGGAACCAGAATGGAGGGACATGTCTATCAGGATACAAACTGTCATAGGATCCCAAGTCTGACAGTGAGCTATTTAATTGTCTTATTGAAGCCTGCAATTATCTCAGTTGGATAAATAGCATTATTTCACTTTTGTTCAGAAAAAAATTTTTTTAAAGAGAGAAAAAGAAACTTGAAATGTGAATGTACCATAATGTTGTAATGGACTGAATCTTTGGGGTATGGCCAAATTTTACAGCCTATGCCCTAGGACACAGTATCTTTTAAATACCTTTGTAAAGGTGTCACTGAAAATTACTTCCTATTTAGGCTTGATATAAAACTGTCAATTGCACTGTGAAAAATTCCAAGCCTTTAAACTAGAGTTCTAAAAAAGGGTTCCCTTCTCAGCCCACCTTTTGTGAACCATTTCCTCTACTTCTCCAAGAGTTGATAGGACAAGGCAGGTGGTGGGCATGTCTTCAAAAAGAGAGAGGGAACAAGTACAGAGGAGACAGAAGTGGACTCCCTGAAGGAGCTGAGCAGAGGCTATGCAAATAAAATGGAGATCAGGCCTCCCTGATTTGGTTTTCCAAGAGGACCCTGGCCGTGATGCAATGCATCCTGTTCTCCTGTTTTCTGGCACATCTCAGGCAGAACACCAGAGTGCAGGCAATGGGGGACCAATCAAATGACTTTTTCCATTGAATGTTTTCAAGTCAATGAGCAGTCAACCCAGAAGGGTTCCTGCTACAGCACTGGGAGCAAGTAGGTGTATGTGTGTGTGTGTGTGTGTGTGTGAGAGAGAGAGAGAGAGAGAGAGAGGGAGAGAGAGAGAGAGAGAGCGAGAGAGCGCCTACCCTGTTTCCCTCAGGTAGCCTTGTGCTAACTGTAAAACTAATATTCCAGGGGTGGGGCCAGGCAGAGCCACACTGTGGCAAAATAAGTGTAACTGGGTGATTGAATTAATAGTGATTTCTATCCAAAGAACAAACCTTTAAATTTTTTCTTTTTAAAGAAGATGTAAGTAACAAGTCTTTAAAATCCAAGAACAAAGTAGAAAGCTGACATATAAAGACTTATTTTGTCATTGGAGAAATACTGAGAAGCAACCRGTTAGCATGAGGATATCTAAGAGGGAAACCCAGGGAGTTGCCATGTGTTAAGACCACACTGTGCTTTGGAAATGGATCTCCCTCCTTGTGCCCCAGCAGCCATGAGGGAGAACACTGGGTGAGACAGCTCGATATGCCCCTGCTAATGGGCTGTCCTTCCCTCTTTGGAGTTTTCAGCAAGGGTCATCCCCAAACTACTTTTTCATATGCACATCATTTCACTGGTGTCCTTTGAGGGCTGACATCCARGAAGTAACAGGTATCCAGTAGAGTGAGACTCAAAATTCCCTTTGAGAAGACAGTCCTGCTGGCCACCTGGTCCAGCAAACCCAGAGAGAAAAAGGAGCAACTGCAAATATTCCTGTAAAGCCAGCTCTGAACCATCCAGTCCTTCCAAAGACAGTGACCCTACAGGTCCCACTGACTTGGTTGACATCCTTCTTCGTGCACTCTGTAAGAGTAGGAGAACAAAAGGTGGCAAGCAACCAAAAGGTTCTGGATGTGCAGCAGAGACCAGGGATGCTTCTAGCCTTCAGTATAGACAGAGGAGAGCTGGCTAGGACAACGGTCCACAGCACTGATCTGCAAGAACGTGTTGTCTTCAGGCCCATTGCGAAGAGACTCCCCAAAAAGGCTTGAGGAAGCTGAAGGCAAATCATACACTGGAAGAGAAAGAAGGCAAGAGGTCAGTAATGCCAGCCATGCTACACAGGCCAGTTGTGCAGTACAATCGTATAGTTCCCTACACGCTGGCTGGAGGCTGATGAGGCCACAATGCTAGCCTGGTGTAAGCCCTTCAGCAGGTACCTGTCCTTAGGAACTTAGTAGGGGAAAAAGGACTTGAAGGCTGCTGGCTAAAACATGACTCAGCACAAAATATAATACAGGTTAAGTAGAAGAAAAATGTTCCAGGGAAGGATGAGGGTGGCCTCAAAAAGGAGGCAACAATAAAGTTGAGACATCAAATAGAATGGGGTTCTCACAGATGGAGACATAGGGAAGAATATTCCAGAAGGAAGAAATGGAACAAAGATGAAGGGAGGTGTATGAGGGATCCAGGGTGCAAGCAAATATCAGGAGAAGAGTGTGTAGGAAAGATATGTGTGGGGAGGTCTGGAGAATGGATGGGMCTAAGCCACTGGGGCTCAAATGTCATACTTGAAAGAAGAGTTTGTTCTCTATGCAAGTGCAAACTATTTAAGGTACTTGAGCAAGAGGGCGTTGTACTTTGTCCCTAATTTTTGGAACACAGTGMTCAAGGTAGTTTGGAAAGCAGAACTGTAGAGATGGAGAAGTGACTGGGAATTGTATGGCCATTGCCACAGTCTGGGAGAGATGTTGGCAACTGAAACGGAGCGTGGGTGAGGCTGCGATGGGATGGAGATGGGAGCCCTTTCAGGAGTACCCCAGTGAGGATATGAGGTTCTCAGGTGCTGGTCAAGGCTGGTCCAGTCCAGTCACAGGAAACCCACCTGGTCTTTTCCGCCTGTTGGCCCGAGTTTCTAAGTCAGAGACACCCAACACACCTGCAATGCCTGAGTGAGTCGAGAAGGCTCTGTGGAAAACGTCAAAGCCAGCCTGGCCCATGGACGTGGGGACCAGGCAGTCCTCAAAGGAAGGCACCACACTGCAGGAGCTGCCAGGYGGCACAGTTCTCTGGGATTCAGGGTAATGAGGGGGGCAGAAGGTCTGCAGCTGTCCATAAAATCCTGAAATGCAAGCAAGGCACTGAGTTACTCCAGGGCACAAGATCATTCCATCCCAGCCAGAACCTCACTCAGCCTGGGTTCATATAAAGAAATGCCTTTACCTCTTGGGGCCATTTGTAAAATCTTCCAACACAAGCATCTGGAACATAATTTGGGCTGAAGCTCTTTGACTGCAGAGGGATTTCAAGATGTGTTGGCTTACACCATTTTAGTTTGTACTCTAGTATCCAAAGAAGAAGGACTTCTTACCTACTGTCAACTCTCCAAGARTCCTGGATACCTAAAGCCTTACCTCCAGGGAACATTCCCACCCCAGGTCTTCCCATCTGGTTTTGAATACATCTTTGTTAATGTCCTTTATCCTATGTTTTATTCTGTTTTCACATTTGGCAAAATCCTACAGAAAGCTCTTAAGAAGGCTCCCCTAACACACAAACAACAACAACAACAACAACAACAACCACCACAACAAAATAGATCTATTTATCCATCTACCTGTCTTTCCAATGGATAAAATTCATATTTATATCTTCCTAGTTATTTTAAATAGGTACATAGTACTCCTTGGTTGGATATACTATACTTCACAATTATTATTGTTGATCTTGGTAGTAAGCTGGAAAACTGAAAGTGATTACATAATAAAAAATATGAGGAAAGACTTCTTAATACTTGAGAATTACCATCAATCTCTTGATGATCTTACTGCATCTATCCTCTTCAATTTTTTCTTCCTCCCTCAATAAAATTTTCCTTGGTTCCCTATGTGGTCCTAGTCTGTGGCTCTCCAAAATCTTCCATAATTCCTTACCTTTTTCTTCTTTCTCTTTTGCTTCATGATACATTTGAATCAAGAGATTATTTTCTTGTAGTGTAATGTGCTTTTAAAAATATAATAATGCAATTTTAATTCTACACTTTATTGGAGGGAGAGCCGCAGCTCTGCTGCTTTCTAATGCTACATTTCATTGTGCCTGTTTCCTCAACTGTAAAATGTGAATGTCATAGTCTACTTCACAGGGCTATTGTGAAGATTAAGTGAGTCACTGGATAAGGAAGTCTACCTAGAAGTTTTAAAGTGCTTTAGAAATGTCAGTTTATTATTGATATTCTCATTCTGTCTTTGATAGAAAAAGTGAAGGCATTAATAGAGGAAGTGCCCCGGGATCCCGTCCACAAACACTACATCATGGACATCACAGAACCAACTCATGGACTTTGGAGCCCTGGTCCTGTCTGTCTTYTTCCACTAGATTTGCCTCTTCTTAGGGCTAGAAGGCTTTATGCCTATAAAAGAAATCCGAGCCACTCCTACYGTGCACAGGTAGTAGTGGTGCTATTTGGGTTGTTCTTACCTGTCTTTAAGTAAAACTTGGATGCACTGATGCATCTGGTCTACTGCACTCACCAATCTTCTCACTGCTCTTTAGGACCCTCAAGCAGCCTGAGTAAGTGCTCAGATCACACTGGTCTGGGAGGTGTATTCTTTGGTTCCTATGAACACTAACAAAGAATGTGTGCTTAACTGCTCCAGAGACACAGACAGGACCCCTGGGAGTTTATGATCCAAAAGAGATCAAATGCAGATTTATGCTCAGGGTACACTCAGAAGCTAAAATAATAATTTTTTTTTTATAAGCAGACAATAGCCCACCTTATATAGAATTGACAGAAAAAAAATCCACATAAGTTTTGGGGGATGATTTAATACTTGCTAGCAATAGAGACTACGAAAATACCTAAGGAAATTCCATGTCCAGGAAGGAGAAGAAGGGGAAACTGTTCTCTTTATGATTCCCAAAGGACTTTGTATGATCTCAATAGACAAGACAGGCAAAGGACCCAAATAGAACACTCATAAATATTCATATAATTGATCAACCAACATGAACAAACTGCCAACCCTCAAGCTATCAAAGAAATAAAAACCAAAACATCAGTAAAATGCCACGTTCTACCTATCACATTAGCAAAGAGCTCTAGAAACTGTTGTTAGTGCTGATATATGAGTGCTGAAGAAGGTACAATGCCACAGACATTGCAAAAAGTGTATTTTCCCCAATTCTTTTGGAAAACAATTTTAAAACCTGTATGTGGAAATATCCCAAGAGTATACATTCTCTTGGGTTTGGAATTTTACTTCTGAGAAAGTATCCTAAAAGTATAACTATGAAAAAATTCTTCATAGAGATAGACATCACATAGCTGGGTGCGGTGGCACACTCCTATACTCCCAGCAGCTTGGGAGGCTGAGGTAAGAGAATCACAAATTCAAAGCCAGTCTCAGCAATTTTGTGAGGCCCTAAGCAACTTAGCAAGACCCTGTCTCTACAGAAAATACAAACAAGGGGCTGGAGATGTGGCTCAGTGGATAAGTGCCCCTGGATTCAATCCCTGGTATGAGAGAGAGAGAGAGAGAGAGAGAGAGAGAGAGAGAGAGAGAGAGAGAGAGAGAATATCATCATACTGCTAATGAGCATAACAGCATAACAGAAATTACAGGGGCCAAAATGACCCCAAGAGAATGGTTAAGCAAAGAGTGGCATGCTTGCGTGATAGGAACATTAAATGGCCATTAAAACAAATTTTATAGGGAGTATTTAACAACGTGGAAAAATCATTATAAGATTCAGATTTTTTTTTAAAAGCAAGATACAAAATTGAACATAAAGATTAGGCTCAGTCATGTAGAAGTGTCCACAGGATAAAAATTACAAAATGTCATGTCTCTAGATATTTTTTTTGCCTTTATATTTTTCTGAATTTTAATAATGGTGAAGAGCAAGTACTGGAGCCAGACTTCCTGGGTTCATATCCAAGCTCAACTATGTAACTGTGATCTTGGTAAACTATTTAGCTTCTTGAAGAGTCTCTGTGTCCTAATTGGTAAAATGGGATTAACAGCAGTAAGTACAGCTCAGTGGGTTATTATGAAGATTGAATGAGTTAATATTTACATATTATATAATTTTTATCACTAATTAATAATTTTTTTATATTTTAATAATACAATTCACATAATGTATATATTTGCTGAACAAGTAAAATAAAATGCAAAWTTGTTTTTCAATGATAAAGTTCTTGAAAATAAGGTAAATTTTATTAAGGAAAATGAAATTTCCAAAAAAGCAATTGAGTCCTTCAACAATAACCAAATATAAGAATAGACACAACAGAAGGCATGTGGCACAACCCCRATATGGGATTAAGATTTCAACATTATATTTTTAAAAGGAGACTGTACTCCAAGAAAATGGAATATTCTTGGTCCTTCAGAGACCTGAAGCTATATTCTTCTTGCCTATGGTTCCTAGATCCTGCACTAATTGACCCACATCCACTATTTGACACATGCACTAATGAGAGTCCAAAACAGTAACAAGTCTGAGTGGTTTGAAGGAACCAGAAATTGAAGCTGTGTGGTTTGGGGAGTTCCTTGAACTGATCTTGACTTTGGATACCTGTTTGTATCCAAAGTTTGTAAAGACACATGTAAACACAGCATACTCATTAGGAGAAAGGCACTTCCATGAACCATTCGCAGTTGACCTATTACAATGTAATCTCTCCTCAATGAGCAAAATACATGATATTTGCTATCTATATGCCTATGTGGCTCTCAAAATCATCACCCATAAATTCCCTGACAGCAGTCCTCAGTGTGATATTCTCCAAGAAGAGAAGACATTTTCCACTAAATTCCCCCAACTCCCCAAATAGGGACATTAATCATTCAGAGACAGTGATAGAGACATTCACTAGCCTTTTGTGAAAACCAATYCATTCTCCCCTTCTTATCTTCTTTCCTATTTCTGAGAGTGATCAGAGATGTCATATGGCTCCRATCTATATTTGGGTGTTACAGTGTGTGTAAGTTTAAAAGGTCTGTGACATGGTAAAATATATGTGAGGATGTTCAATATTAAACCCAACTTTCTGGACTCCATCTCCCGGTCTGCATTTGAGTGAGGAGGGCAAAGTAGACTGTAATTCCTGTCTCTGGGWATCTTGGCCGATGTGAGAAACTGTTAAAACCAGAATGGCCTCACAGTATGTTTTATCACTCTAACAGCCAACCCAAGAAAAGAAAATCTTCCTTGTTAAATCCTTCCAAGTAACCAGTTACTAGAGATGCCAAATACACTGGTGTGGATGGCTGTGGTCACTCAAAAATCAAAGCGTTTTAACACATTCTCTTCCAGCATATTTCCATAAAACTAATGGAATTTTTGAAAAATTCCATTAGGATCTTGCCACTCACACAAACCTAGAGAAGGAAGGTCTAACACATTTTCTGATGAATGGTTCCTATATTTCAGTGGCTGGATTTCATGTGGCAAATTTGGAAGGAACATGACTTCTCGGACCCAAAGCAAAATGAGGCAAGATGTTAACACATTTCGTGAGCCTGAAACCTAAGAGTGATGGCAGGGTCAGCCAATCTGTCAGGCAGTCAGTCGACAGTGGCTGTTAAGTGCCAGTAAGGGCACTGTTGGAGAGACCAAAGAAACCAAAGATGATACCTTGTCCTGGAGGACTGATGATATAGTTGGAGTGAGAACACACACATTTATTAATAGCAAATGATCGCACACATAAACATAAGTTGGCAATAAATGTTAGTTGTCACATTTAGTTCCAAAATCATCCTCCTCCTTCACTTCAGAAGTTATTTTACCCCCAAGATTGGAAGAGGGGAGGAATTTGCAAATAAACTCATCCTACCTAAATTGTGGTTCTTGAAGATCACGGAGAATCAGTCCAGTCCCCTCCTGTTCTCAATTTTGAAGAGTTATTTTTCCCCTTCTAAAAATGAACTTGCTTTTCTAATTATAAAAATACTTAGTGCTAATTATAACAACTAGAAAATGTCAACTAGTATAAATAAAAAGAGGAAAAAAAAATCATCTTTATTTCCATGATCCAGAAATGGCCAGATACAGATACATATAAGCAAGACTGAAAATTATATTTTCAATCATATGGTAATATATAGTCAA